CAACCTAATAGAACGAGGCATGTAGAAACTGATACAGTTACACTGCCTTTCAGTTGGTGTAATTCACTAAAAAGTGAATTTGTCAATATCAGTGATTGTACCTACATGTATATCTCCCAACGAATCTTCTTCAAACTGCAGTTTCTTTAAGTGTATTGACTACTCCATTGGATGCCCTTTGTTTACTTCCAGTTCGGCCCTTTTTGCTTCTCAGATTTAGATGCTTGGATTTTTCCTTGCTTCATGCCACAGAGATACTGTGTAAAGAACTGGCATTTCTTCCTTTGTATTCTCTCGAAGTTGAGCTACAAGGGAGAAAGCTGGGGAAGAAGTTGCTTTTCACATTACCCTTTGTAAGGCATTAATAAAATATTGACTCTCATAAGATGACCATATCTGTCAGTTTGAAATTAATTGATAGAATTATCCTGTTTGTGCTCTTTTTTCCAGGGTTCAAAAGAAACATCAGATGTGGGAGCACTACAGAAAGGCCAGGATTTTGTTAAGGCATTCGTCCTAGGTTTTGAAGTGGAGGTATGCAGTTTTCTACCTTTCATACTCGGAGAATTATGTTCCAACTTTGTCCACTGCCCAAACTTTGCCCAGTACCTACTTGGGACAAGTCTGTCATGCCAAACTTAAGTTGAGGAGAAAACAAAGAACATGAGAAAAGGAACCACATTAGGTGAAAAAGTGAGGAGGAGAGGGAGCAACATTAGTGGAATGCAATGATGTCAGTAACAGGTGAAACAGAAATTTGGTCACCCCAACCATGGCATAAGAATCCTGTAAAAACTGATAACAGTGCAACTCCTGCTATTTTGATGGCACTGTCGTATACATTCAATTCTGCTAGATAACAAAAGTTGGGCATTCCCAGCTATGTCAACACAGTTAGGCATGCCCCAAGGGGCACAGGACACAGTGGGGCAGTGCACAGTTACATGTAGGACTTATTCGAGGGACGTGCTTGGTCTGTCACTGATTGGTCCATGTGGAGTTGGTCTGTCATTGGGTCATCCGGACAGTTGTCCGATTTCAAGACAAGTACTTTTTCACAATTTTCACAGGAAACTCATAATGGAAAATCATTGGAGATTTTTCCTGTTGAGGGTTGATGTTATCAAGGTCAGACACTGGAATTAGCATTGAACAGAGGGGCTTTTATTCTGTATGATGTTTGGAATGATAGTTTGAACTGAAGGTTACATTGTTGGTATTGGGGTTAAAAGGTCAGAGGTGAAAGGTGGGTAAAGTAAGAAATATGAAGCTGCTACCAGCTGTCTGGTGTTTGCTTTTAGCATTTTTGTGCACAACTTAAAGGTAACATCACATGTAATTTATTAATTTTTTTTTTCAAAACTAAACTGATTTGCTAACAGTAGATCAGAAAAAGTACTATGACCTTTTAGGAAAGATAATTCAATTTGCTTCGTAGAAGATCAATATTGCCTGTTTGTTCCTTAACAGGATGCCTTGGCTTTGCTACGGTTAGATGAGCTGTTCTTAGAAACCTTTGAAGTAGCTGATGGTGAGTCTTTAGTCAGTTTTGAGTAGTTTTCCTTGTCATTGTGAGTTGCTTAGAAGTGAAGCATTGAGCATTGACACCAGTGTAATGTATGAATGTTTTATGTTGGTCTTATTTTATCGTAAGTTTGCCAAGCCAATCATCATAGAACACAATGCCTATACCTATTCTTCCCTTCAGTCACACATTTTATATTTTGAGTCATTTTTTGATCACTTCCTTTTACTATGCCAACCCCATGCTGTTTCTTTTTATACCACATCCTCAGTGAAACCTTTGAAAGGAGACCATTTATCACGAGCCATTGGCAGAATCGCAGGCAAAGGAGGCAAGACGAAGTTTACCATAGAGAATGTAACCAAGACCAGGATTGTGTTAGCCGGAAGTAAGATCCACATCTTAGGATCTTTCCAGAATATAAAGATTGCCAGGACAGCCATATGCAACCTGATCCTAGGTAAGAATAAGCTTCAAATGGAGTAAATAGTTACAATGTCTAATACTAATATAATTTATGTCAAATGAATGGCTGATATTTTTTGCAACCTCCAAGCAAATCACTGAGTCAAATTTACCCAACACAAGGGACCAGTAAATTTGTGATACTCTTACTTAGACTAAACTATAGTGTGTTGCGTCTGATGTTCAACTCTTGTGGGTGGTTTGTCCAATTAGAGCCCTCAACAAGAGACTGTCATAAAATGGCCATTTGTCTGAAGCACATTTAAAAAGGGCCATACTGTAACCTCCATCAGCCATGGATGATGGGGAAATGATACATCTAGGGACAACGCACTGTAGAAGTTCTTTGAAGCATTTCCAACGTGACACTCAGACTTCTTGTTTTCATTCATTTCATGATTCTATCTACAGGAAGTCCTCCCTCCAAGGTGTATGGCAACATGCGAGCCGTTGCTAGTCGGAGCGCTGAGAGGTTTTAGGAACTCTGAAAAGTGGACTGAATGTGACTTTGATGCTCTCATGAATCTCAAAATAATGTATCAGCACAACAACAGAAATATTTCAGTGCAACAAGGCAGTTTGGACACAATTTGTTGTGGAGGGAAAAGAACAAGCCCATTTTCTGGTTTTCCAACCCCAGGCTGTCAATTTTCAGTTCTTGAGAAACACCACCCAAAATAATTAGACAAAGATGACTGAATAGAATGGTGAACATAAACTTGCCATTTGTGTAGAGTCACTAATTCAGGTCAGTCAAGGCACCAAGCTATGTGCACAAGACAACGGATCAGGCATACAGTTTGGACTTTGACAAAAAACTAGGAAATCCCAGTCTTTACAAGACTTTTCAGTTTTCAGTGGCCCGAGTGTGAAGTGAAAATTGAGGAAATCAGCAGATCTGAGGAGCAGTTTGCATGCCTGATTGAAGAATTAAAATTCGTGTTATACAACTAACACAGACTGGCGGTATGGTTTTTTTTTCACCCAGATATAGCAGGTACATGTATAGCACATTTCCATGCCTGTACAAATACACATGGTTATTAAGCTAAGAATCTATGACTCACAAGGGGCTGGGCTCAAAGTTGATTGGTCCAACACCAATTTGGCCTCAGTTGTGTTCTGAACTCAACTGCTCTTCACCTCTGATAGGAATGGCACAGTTGTGAGTTTGGTTTCATCTCATCACAGAAAACCTGTGTACATTTTAAAGGAACCTCAATGTACCTAAAGAAATTTTAATCTCACATAAGTGTAGAATGTATGTAATAATCAGTTATGTATTCGGTTGAGGAGCAACATTTTGAAATAAAATCACACTGAAACCTGTTAAAGTTTCCTCCATAATTTATTCTCTTTAATCAATATGTACCGCTCGGTATAAAATAGTAAATACCATACATATATATTTATTTTCCAGTGCACTGTGTTCATATCACTTCCAGAAGTGATAAACAGGTAACACAAATGATGAAGTGAAATTACTACCTTATATTAATCCAAATTAAACAAAATCTGAGCTTTAATCTATACAGCACATTTCTAGACTCTAATATACCTTTTATCCTAATATATACCTCTGCAAAAAACCAAAGCATTTAAAATGTTCACATTTAATACTTGTAAATAAAGCGTGATTTGGCATGTGACAAAGTGTATGTACAAAGGACATTTCAGGAACAACTTGTAGGCTGCATCACTCTCTTTAAATGATCTGTCCACCGAGCGTTTTCATTCCTCAGCGTAAAAACAATTGAAGCAGAATTGAAATATGCAACCTCCATAATGCAAAGTTTCAAGCTCTAATTGGTAATAACTGCCAACAAAGAGCAGAATTCCTTGGGGAAGTTTGAGAGTGAACCAAGTTGACCAGTAGAGGAACTCTTGTCTTGCACGTTGGCAAGAGAAAATGCTTGAACTGATATTGCCTCTAGCCAATGCATAAACAAAGTAGAGTCCCATTCAAATGACCCAAGCCTAACCATTTAAGCACTTTGTCAATCACAGTCTAACCTTGGTTACATCTCTCACCACATTCATGGTCTCTCATTTAGTGTCATTAGTTTCAGTAATACAAGATCCCAAGACTTGGTTCTAAGTGGTCAACTAGGTAGTCAGTTTGAGTGACACTAGTCAAACATTGGTTTATTGTAGTAGGTATAGTCACTCAAATTTGTCCCAAGTTGTAACAAAATATTTCCAATGTGTCAGCCACATTAAAATACCGTACATGTACATTAGCTTCTACCCCTTGGAACCTTATGTGCTGCTGTATAGATACCATTGTTTTAATCAACAATACAATACTCGGACTCGGCTAAATATGAACAATACAAACAATTCAAAGAAATAAAAAATTACCCAAAAATGGCACAAGTATGTGAACTTCTCTGATTTGTGTTACAAACACGCAAGGAATCATTGGATGTTGAACAGCAAAAATGTCACCAAAACATGAAATATTTCAGCTACAACTTGCCACTTCTGCTGGGCACACTTAAAATTTCCCATGAAAGTAACATTCCTTAACAACTACAAAAAGATTGAAAGTTGTCGGTAGATAACAAAGTATTTCAAGGCAATTATAAAATGTGCCAAAGAACCTTTAGGGAGGAGTGTGAATGCTTGCATCAACTCAGTTTTATAAGCTTTGTAAACTCTTCTAGTTTCACTGTTGTTGGACTAAGCATACACACTTTTAATTAAAAGTTTACTCAAGATGTTGAACATCAGTATCTGCAATTCAATCCATTAACCACTTCCTGCCAGGCAGCCCAGAACTGGAGACGTTGGCTGTCTACGCATGGCCGGGGTGCCCGAAATCGGAACTTTATTAAAAAAAATGAAGCTGCTCAGCATTTTTAGAAAAAGTTTACTTGCTGTCAGTCAGCTGCTGGGAGTTGCCAATCAAGGTTCATAGCTGTCTGCTGAGGGCTGGCCACTTTTAGCAGAGGTAATCCGTCATTGTTTTGAAACAGTACCACTGTTTGCCACTGACAGTGCCCGCGGATTATCAGTGGGGACAAAAGCACTCCAGTGGTAAACAATACAATACCATTGGGCACTTGTGAAATCTGGCTGCATTACTACAGACAATGCCATCCAGCAATCCACTGGCCCAACTTCAAGAACAAAGAGGAAATTACGCAACACCACACAATGGGGGCTCTTTACTGGGCTGCAGGCGTGGCTGCAATACGCAAATGTTAATGGAGGTTGCCTGTCAGATAAGAGTCCCACAAGACAGTCATTTATTTGGGTGTATGCATCCAGCAAACGAAGATGTGAATTTTTGAAGCATTTTGAAAGTGGAAAAAAATGAAGCGCCCGACAGCGTGTCCTCCATGCCACTATCTCCACCCAGCAGGAAGTGGATAAACCTCAGAATGACTGGTATCTTCAACACAACTAATAATGTCACTTTTGGAGTAAAAATGATTTGAGAATACACTTAAAAGGGAAGCCAGGCAGATTTTTTCCAGCAGCTGTTTTCATTCAACTTTCCTGCTACCGGTTTTGTTGCCATCTTATTGGCTAATTTACTCATTCATTGCACAAAGCTTTTTTAACTTTATGCTCACTAGTTCCAGTTGTTTGCTTGGTTGGTTCGGAAAGATATTCACACTTCTTCTTGCTTTGTCAGTCAACACTGCAGGATAGACGAGCCATTACAGTCAACAGAGTGAAAGTGAGTCATTTGAACTCCACCCTGAAAGTTGGAATAACAAAGTATTTACCGTCAAGGAAATTAAATCAGCTACAGAACTCCTGTAACACCAAACCTGCAAGTTCAACGATGCATACACCTCAGACAAAAACTACAATTCTTTTTGTTGAGTTTACAAGATTACAGATTAGGAAAACAAAATCAAGAAATATTACAAATGTAAACAGGACAAATTCCTCAAAAGCCACTATAAACTTTTAATATGAAGTCTATCCACTGTGTATATTATTCCATGAAGCTCCCCTGCGACTTTTGATGCTTCCTTCTATAAAGCAAGTTTTATTGATGAAGCGTCTATCAAGCACCTCCCTTTTCTTTTAGAAATGTTTTCCTGAGGTTTTTGATTATAAAATATAGCAAAAAGCTCTGAAAACTCTAAATAAAACCCATCAACCTAAGAGTATCAAGAACCAAATTTTCATAAGCATTCAAATCTCAATCTCTGCCCATCTTTATAGAATTTGGACTGCTTTCACAGAATGCAATTCAGACATTTTTATCATACCAGGAGAGGTTAGTGGTAAAACATCAATAAATCCTTATCAAAATTGCAACAAATTTGATCAAAACTGCTACAGAATGCTGTTCACGGCAAAATGAGACTGAACTCTGGAGAGACATCAAGGAACTTGTCAAGCAACAAATTCTAAGTAGTTCAGCATGCATTAAAATATTGGAAGACTTACTGTCCCTGATAGGTTTTAAGGCCAAGGAGAAATTCACAAGTCATTCCTTCAGTTCCAGCCATCACATTTTCTTTGTAGTTAGGGAGGTAATTTTGGAGAACAGATTGAGGAAAGATGCATTGAGATTAATATTTTTTTTAAAAATCGCAGTTCAGCAATAGCAACGGTTTTCTGTGATCTGTTATTAAGATCCGGGTTTTAGCCTTGACGTTTTTCTAAGACTGTCAAGTATTAAAATTAACTAGAAAAACTGCAAGTAATATGAAAATGAAAAGTATCTCTTGAAATCAGTTCAAGTGAACAAAATAAAGGGATAATCAGTTGGTACAGTCACTGAGATTTTACTGAGTATTTTGCTTTAGCAAATGTTAATTCCAGAGGTAGATAATCTGCAGTGCCAGCTACATGTATGAACACTTGTGATTAGCAATTTGTGACTTGCACAGATAAAAAGGCTACATATTCTATCTACATTTAACACGATCTGAGTTGTCACTTTTGATGGGCAAACTAATCTTTTGGTTCTTGCTTATATTTTCCATAAATTGAAGCAACAGTGTGGCTTCTTTTTTTCTTTATATACAAGATGCCAAACTCCTCTCCAGAGTTGAATGCCACTATAATGGATACTTTGAGCAGTCATAGTAGAGTGCGCTCTTTCAGCCTATTCATTAGATAATCTGATTCCTGGGCCCAACCATTAGGTTGCCTCAATCACCAAGACTAAACCACGATGTAGGGAAGCCCTGCCTTATCCAAGAGTACTTGATTCACAATGCTTCCATGGGTTCTAAAAGCTAATCCACTTGTACCATACTGGGGAGCAAGTCACGTGCATGTGTTGAAGGCTTTTTCAATGTATGAGGTGTTTACAACTTGCTAAAATATATGTGCAGCTCAAGTTACAGAATGCACACAGCATGCATGAATGTGGTGTTACTGCATCATTGATGTCTCCTGAGATTATCCGGTATATATCAACAGAGGGCATTACACTGTACTCACAACTCCAATGGGAATGCATGTATTTTAACTATTGAATCCATGCCAACCATCTAGCTCTAATTTCTCAATTACCATGAAAAATGCAGCGCAGAGTGAGAAACCACACTCCACAAAGTGGAACAACTATGCTAGACATTTATTTCTTTGTATTTGATATAGTAGCATTCAACTGCTTATCTATAAATAGATTTCAATCTTTCAATGCTTCTGGCATTTTGTGTTGATTTGGCAGGCAAGTTAATTTTGAAAATTATGATCTGTAAAAATAGTTGCTGTGTTAACACACAATGACACTGCTACAAGTTTGAAAGCCTTCGGTTCTTCATTCACTTTGAGAACGTAAAGACCCGAGTGAGATTAAGTACAAACATGTTTCATAAAATATAAGTTATGAGAGTGGGAGATATGAACTTTTCATGTTTGCTATTTTGCCCAGCACTGATGTGCGTTTATGAACACTGTATACTCAGTAAAAACAAATCATATATTTATAGCAAATGCTTAGCCTGGGACCCACTGCTCATCTGACTAATCACTCCGGCAACCTCGGCAAGCTCGGTGGTCGAGTGACAAGACGTATGCACTTGTAAGTAGGCGGTCATGGGTTCACGTCTCACAAGTATGCATGTGATTGTTTTCACAAGACAACAAGTGGACACTCTTTACAAATACACATTGCTTCAGGGCAAAACACCAAACAAAAAACAAATAAGGACATACTGATTGATTTCTACATGTGGCAAGCTTGCACATCCAGGGTCTACTTGCTTGGACCTACTAGAATGCTCTGATTACGAGGTCAATGGGACTCTTTTCTGGTCCCCATCTAATCTCTAGATTCAGTCTCATCTCAAGCCTCAGAGCCTTCTTCACTATTGGAAATGAAGGAATACATTCCAAACATTTGGCTTTACAGGAGGCAACATGATGTTTCTACAATCTGGAGCTGGGAGATGCCATTTTCAGGACATGTAATCATGAAACTGAAACCTGCAGCTAAACCCAGAGACCAAGTTAAGGCTCGGAAAACTCCTCTGACAGTTTCCAACACTGTGAAAATAACACAAGTTTGTCTGTAATACAGTATTTCCATTTTACTGCAGGGCAATATTGTGTTGATCAACAGTTCTTTATCCCGATAAGCCAGCTAACTAGTTCAATTCAGGAAGGGTACTTGACAGGGAAATATTACATTCCATGCTTGGCTAAGAGCTTCAGAAATCTAACAATGGCATGTACTCCAGGGGTACTATAACAGGCCACTTGATACAGCTGACAATTTCCTTCCACAAGAGGGCGACACACAGGCACGCTGTTTGAGAAGATATTTCCATGATGTCATCAGAGAGCAGCAACATCACCATACACCGAGTTCCACTGAGCATAGGTGGCCAGAAGGTGAGGTTGTACACTGCAGCGGATGTGTTTGATAGATTCCTGAAAGTCTGACAGCTTGATGTCTCGTACCTTCAAATGATAACAGTGGAGGAGGAGAAATGGGAGGACGAACCACAGAAATACTGAAAAATTGTGTCCCGAAATTCAACTTTGGCATATCACTCCTGTCATACAAAAAAAATCATGTGAATAACTTTAAGCTGAAGTGTGCATCTTATATATTCAAATGAGCCATGCATTAACCAATTTCTGCCAGGGGCAGTTATCAATGTTGATGATGCTGGGCCGGGATATTTATCATTTTTGTCTGTTGTCCAAATTCGTTAAAAATTCCTATCTTCATTTACTGGACACTAACAAACATGTGAAGGACTGTCTGGTGGCCCCTCTAGCCTGACAGACAAAATCTATTGACGCCCAAGTATTTCAGCCAGGCCTGCAGCCTTGTAAAAAGAGCCCAGATTGTGTGGTGTTATACAGCTGTCTTTTGTTCACGAACCTGGCTCAGTGCACTGCTGACCTCTTTTCAATAGGGGCCAGATTAGCATGCAGCGGTGCTGTGTGGCTAATCGCTGCGGTGGTAGAGCGCTTTTGTCCACGGTGGTAATCCGCTCGCTCTAAATGCCCCAAACCGTGGTAGAGTCGACCCTTGTTAATAAGAGGGCCTTGGGACTTTCTAAATTAGCTTGTATTATCCAGACCTTGTCTCACGCGAAAGCTGCTGTCCCACTTGTCGCATGTGTAACCAATCGACTGCATCGTTAAGTGTACATCATGTACAACTTCCTGTACATACATGTAGGCCTACGTGTACTTTGTATGCACATACGCGTGGTTTGGAATTTAATTTCAAGACAGTTTATGTTTATGAAAGTGAGAAGTAACTGTACTTTTTATGAATAAAGACTTGAAATAAAGAATAATAACATAATACAAGAATGGAGAAACCGGTCAAGTCCAGTTGGAGGATGCATGGTTGGAGCAATGCCATTTTACGTCCCCAGTACGCCGCAATGAGATCGTCATACAACGCACGCACGTAAGTACATTAACATTTTAGGTGGTAACCAACATCAGTGCTGTGCTTGTTGCACAAAAAGGACAGGAACCAGTTATTGGTGGTGTGGATTGGCCAGTAGAGGGCGAATAAGTTATTGAGTATTGTACGTTTTAATTTAAAACAGCGTGTGGGTTTGGTGAAAAATTAAGCGAGTGAAAACCGCAGCGCTTTACTGCTGTACACAATCAATTACGGAAGTGCCTTTCCGAATTCAATGGATTGACAAGTTGCCTTCCAAAATGCTTGTGCTAATTAGACGGATAACAATACATTTGCACGCAGCTGGGGCCCCCAAAATGCTCGTCTTAAAAGGAATCTCGTAACACGCGAGCTCATATCATGGATTTTTTTCCTCACAGAAATGTGCAAATATACTCGTCTTAACCGGAGTCTCGTCTTACCCGAGTTCGTATTACCGAAAGTCGACTGTACATTGTTTCAATACAAGGCTGGATTATCTCCACTTTTGAGAGAAAAAATGTTGGTAATGCCTCGCAGCCTGGTCTTTTGTTCTGAGTACGGTCTTTTATTACGAGGCCCTGTTCCCTTTGTCTGAGTTCGGAGACCCCGGCCATGCATATAAAGCATCCGGAATCCCCAGCAGGTAGTGGTTAAGATGCATTAAGTTGATGTGACAAAGCTTTCTTTTCTGTACCTCTGTTGCAGCAGTAGATTTCACACGAGTTGGGCCAAGTTCTGTCAAATCAGAGAATTGAGAATAAGTGTTAAAATGTTAAACAATTTAAAGCCATGGGCCTTGCAAGTTGATGCAATAGAGTACCAAAGTGTGACATCACTGTAAACCGGAAAGGGCAGTGCAAACGAATGGAGTACGTGAGTGTGTTGGTTCACGCGCTGGTTCTCGCGTTGATACCTTTTACACACTAACTGTGCGCCTGACGTAATCACTTTGGTACTCTATAGTGTAACAGTGACACAGATATCAAGCTGTCAGTCTTCATGTTGCAGCACACTGATATCAGCCTCATGAGTTGCAGCAACAGAATACATCAAACTGCAGCTGTTGACTACTTCAGTAGGGGTGGTAACAGCAACGAGGATGCCCTGATGCCAGGTACTGGCAGCAACAGTTTGACGGGAGCAGAGATAATCGGTGTAATATCTGAGCCCATTGCAAGTCCTCATAAGTTCAGACCATTCCTCACAAGTAATATAAAGACAAGTCCTCACAAGTGCAGACCAGTCCTATCAAGTTCGACCAGTCTTCACAAATTCAAATAAGTCTTCATCAGTTCAAACAAGTTCTCACAAGGTCAGACTAGTCTTCACAAGCTCCTCTATACAACTCCTCACAAGTTATCTCATTCCAAAGTTACTCAAATGAACTCCTCACAAGTTATCTCATTCCAAAGTTACTCAAATGAACTATATCAAAGGCATTCCTTTGACAATGTGACTGGACTTGTAAAAACTTAGAGATGGACTCCACTGTAACACCTGTAGTACTTACATCTGCTCCTACAACTAACAGCAAGACTGACGTGACATGTACCCACCTCGTATAGGTCCAAGTGCAGCGTCTTTGGCCAGTGCTGTTAGGTCACTCCCTGAGTAGCCTTCGGTCATCTGAGCTAGCTTGGTCAGTTCATCGTTAGTTAATGGAGTGTGGTGCTTAGCCAGCAGGCCGGTCAGCAACACCTTCCTCGTCTGTCAAAAAATTATTATTTGAATTCAAGATTACTCCAGCAACACCAAGCTCAATAGAAGCAATTTACAACATGGTACACTACTAAACGTTATCTCCAAAAGTCTACTTATGGTATGGACACTGACACTGGCAAATATACAAGTCCTCAGTAGCCACTATGCTTTGAAGATGAGGAAATCCACAAAACGAGACTGATCTGAGTTGATGAATCAAAGAAAGGTTTGAATGATAACTGCATCCTGTGCAACAAGAATAGGGAGTTGCAAGATTTGGTTGTGAAAGCATCGACAAGGTACAATGATTTAGAGCCTTGCATGATTACTGTGCAATGGAATCATGTGACATTGACAATACGTTGACGTCATGCATTTGCGAAGAATGAATTGATTACAGCCTCTATTTTGTTTTTTTTAAATAAAGGTGACAAGAATCTGATCCATAATTTAGAATTACACATCAAAGGATTTCCTCACCTTGAAAGCATAGTGGCTCCTATAATTTGGCCCTACTGCGTCACTCTGTTTCCATAAATAAGAAGGCTTCAGCAAATTTATAAAGCAATAGCCTTGTTTTCAGTTCAAGATGGCTGACTCAAGAATAAAGCCAAATGATCATACTGTCACTTCGCTTTAGCAATACAGCAAAACATGTCCAAGAATGCTTCAAGACTGTTTGAATAATAAAAGCCTGATATGAATATGACCGCACAAAAATTACTGCAGGTGCAACCTCTCACAGCAAATGCTATCAATTAAGGAAATGACAGAAACACAGGAAGAGCTTCATTTCTGGCAGGTACTATTAGCTGGCTGGCAACACAAATAAACCAGCCAGCGCGTAAAGCATGATGCAGTACGATTGCTGATTTCCTAGGATGAGATTAGAGTAATTTGAAACAAACAGCTGGGAAGATTAACCTTGTCAATACAATGGACGAAAAAGGACAGAGGTTGACCTACCAAGGCGTGCATGACTAGTCTAGGGGGAACTTTATGACAGGAACCATTCAACTTAAGACTACGTGACTAATTACAGGTAAAACATCATTGAGTACCTTTGCGTTTCTGGTACATTTTACCCTTAAACTATGGGCTCACACTGTAATTATTCCCAGTAGGAAACCTACACAGTGACTAAATCAACTACATGTACATGTAAGTCTGCCCTAGTGAAGTATGTTATTGCCACCCAAACTCCCTAAAATTAAAGCTACCTCTGCCCCCATCTCCAAAGTAAGAAATGAGTATTTTCCTGATTTCTGTCTTTACACTCTGCTGTCATTGCCATCAGGACATCCACATCTGTCTCTTGCAGGAAGAACTGTCATTGAACTTGGATGTACCCCCAAATTGATGATTTCCCAACTAACATGAGCGGTCATGAACTTGTGATGGTTGTGTGTTTTTTCATGCATTTTTCCATGATCCATTTTGTGTTTATACCGGTGTTTGTTTTAATTCTATGTTACGGGAACTGGAAAGATCAATACGCTGTGGATACGTACCACACTGTAAAAGATCTTGGACATCTTAGTTACTCTTTGAAAAACTTTTAAAATGACCAGATGTACACACAAGTGCCTTCATGCGGGCAAGAACACAGAGACTACACTTACATGTAACTGTTTTTCCAATAGTTCCATATTGTGTGAAACAAATGGTCACCAAGTACTAAGTGCAAGGGGTCTATGCAAACACCCCTTTTTAAATCATGCAAACGGAGGAGCCAAAGAGTGAAGTTAGTGTTTATCCTCACAGGAAATTTTAGCTAATATGTATGTGTTCTTTGCATACGTAGATATTCTAATGAGCTTAATCTTAAAATGAACATCAATCTGGCACTGGGCCATGAAGACTATACTTGTGCTTCAAGCAGTAAACTTTGGTTTATGTTTACAGTTAGATTCTGGAGTCTATTTGTACCTTCATATCTGGCATAGTGACATAGATTCTTTTCACAAATCTACGCAGTACTGCATCATCCAGTTCCTGGGGTCTGTTTGTAGCTCCCATTACCAAAACTCTCTCATTTGGATCAGCTGTCACCTACAAAGAGCCAAATATGTCAATAGTCTTTAGTCTCATGAGCTCAACACCCAGTGAAAGTTATGATTGAATGAGGATGCCAGTGTAAAAGAGTTATCAACTGGCTGAGGCTGATGGTAACACACAAATCTATGGCAAGTAAAAGTAGCCACTATACTGTGGATTCCAGGGACGCGTTTGGTATTTCAATCCGTAGTCACAACTGTTGGGCATTGGCCATTGTTTTAAAAGATATAGTACATTGAGCTGACCTAGCAGCAAGATTACTGATAATCCAAGCACAGCCTCATGAATAACATGTCTGACAAAGGTTCAATTTCTTTGTCCACAATGCATATTGCATGTACCAACTCGAAGGCTACTCTTATGAGACTATGGCTAATATAGAATAGCAATCACACATTAACTGATTGCACCTATGAAGCCGAGGACATTCCTCACATGTATCTGTATAAGAGTATGGTGCAAGATCATGTCTCTAGTCAAGTTTGGTGCCTGCAATCGTCAGCAAGTTTAATCAAGAACTTAAACCATTGTATGGCTAACTCTGATCCAAACCCAAGCGAGTCTGCACTGGTTGGACTGGTCTTGTCAGTTATTTGGGACCAGCTTACTGATTTATTGATAACCACACATACAATAATGAACAGCGGGGAGCTAGGATCTTGAGTTGCTATAATGATGGTTGACAATGGTTTGTCCAGCGACATTACCACTTCAATATGAGTGTGCAGGTACAAGGTACAGGGGTGCAACAACGGGAAAAGATTACGTTAACCCTGGACATTTGGCACAAGGTGTTTGATGTCAAATTCAAACAAAACTTCAGACACGACAAAATAAAATTGTCAATTGCTCTTGTTCACACTTTAATAAATTGCCTTTTTTGAGTAGTTATAAGATTACCCCATCAAACTCCAGAAGAAATTCTGTCTTGAGGCGACGACTAGCTTCGTGTTCTCCTTCTTTTCGCTCAGTCAGAAGAGAGTCAATCTCATCTGAAGAAACAAGGTCAAAGTGAGTTCAACTAAACAAAGGTTGAAACAACAATTTGCAAACACTTTGCTATTGGTAAGCTTCAGTCATTTGCTCAGTAAGCCTGTTTGATATTCCGTTCTTTTCATATCATGAAAAAATATCGCAATATCCGATATTATCGTGATGATGTCATTTTCCATTCATAAAATAAACACGATCGAAATCACCATGTCTCGAGTGCCCCGTTTAAAAAAAAAATTGTGTACAGGCTTATGTATTCTTTCTACATTTAAAATTCTTATATGCTGGTGGAAAGCAAATTTCAACATGGAAATTGTGGACATTAAATTATCATATATCATATCATGGCACGGTATGGAAAAAGTCATTTCCCCAAACACATAAGCGGTAAAGTTCGCTCAATAAGGCAACCCCCAAAATGGACAAAGCACATGTGTGTTACTAGAGGGGCTAATGGTATTGACGCCCTCACCTCATTTATAAGTCATTATTTATTTCTCATAAGTCGGCATGTTTCACTCTTTCCTTTTTCTTTCAGACCACAAAAAAAATACTTCTTGCAAGTCAGCAATAAAAATATTTCACTTCGGTGAAGCGACAAGCCCCACACTGCTTGACTGATGTATGCACATGGTTGAGCACATGTACATCAATACCAGGAACCCTTCTCGGGCTCTGTCCATTTTGGGGGTCGCCTTACTGAACGAACTTAACATATAGGCCATTTTCCAATACTCGACTTTGTCTCCATTCAGGCTTCAACTGTTTTTTTTTACTACCTGACCTTGAAGTTGTAAGTGCAACAGCAAGTTTGATAATGGCACAAAACATCAAGTAAAATGCAAAAGAGTCAAACATTACAAGTCTTCAATTTAACTGAAATGCTTCAGGTCCACAATCAGGAATTTGTTTTGGAGACAGAGACGAAGTTGAGTATTGGAAAACAGCCGTGTACGTGTGCGGCACGCAGGTGCGGTATGACAATCTCGAGTCCCGAGTGAGAGAGCCAACTTACGTGTAGCTGGAGTTTACTGTACAATACATTACACATGCATACAGTCTGTTGGTTTGGTTCTGCTCCCTAATACTTGTAAGGCCCTTGCAGCTGGTGGGGCCAACAGTAACTTTGTGGTTTGAGGTTTTCGAAGGAGTATTTGTGTGGCCTAAATGCAGTAATGCAGGGCTCAACACGTGGTGCATTGACTTCCCTATGTGCATGTACAGTACATCGTTTGGAGCTTATTGCGATAATTTTGGGCATATCGATTTGCATGATATCCCAATATGTGTTTTTACGAATGATACGACATCCGATATCAACATCATATCAAAATATCGTGAAATATCGTCAATATCGAACAGGCTTGTTGCTCAGAACAAGCAACTTATTTCAAGAAGCTCCTTTAAATCACAAATCATTGGCAGAGGACAAATTATGCTTTAGGAATCATGGTTACCAGCCAAGATACAAAGATTAAAACTTGTGAATGGTATCCAACTGATATTTGTTGAAGTAATAAACAGCTCATCATAATGCTCAGCATGATATGCTATCTACTTTAGACCAGATGCAATGTCCAGAGATGAATACATTCTAGAAAATGAGAAAAGATGTACTTGTAAGTACTATAAACTAAACTGATCACATATTAAACTGTACATCTCGCAATCAAAAGAAACTGTACGCATCCAAAAAATGTTAAGAAATTCGGAGCAGCACATCTTACTTCAGATTTTATGCATGCTGATCTCAGATATTGGGCTTCATTTCAAAGCGAGAGACCCATGAATATTCCACACTCTTGTAATTCTTAAAGTACTGTAGTTACCATCAGCAGCTTAAAATGCCACTATATCTCATAACCCTCTAGGGATCTTGAGAAGAAGTGTTTTTGTCTGGGAGAATATGAAACTAATCAAGATAAGCGGGTGGTTTCAGACAAGACTGCAGATAGGGATAATCAATTCCATACAAGTGTAGCTGTCACATCGGCATACCTCAAACGAAATTATATCAATGAACTGACTCACCAATGAAAATAACAGATGGCTGTAACTCCCTAGCAACCGCAAAGAGTGCTTTGACTAGCTTCTCTCCCTCACCGACATATTTGGACGTCAGCGTTGCTGCACTGATATTGAAGAAGGTTGCATTGGATTCATGGGCAACTGCTTTGGCCTGATGGAAAGGTTGGACAGTACAGAGCTGACATGGATAGCATTTAAAATAAGATATTTATGTGGTCTGTTAATGCAATTGAACAGTCTGACTCTTGAAGATTACATCATCAGAATGGATGACGACAAGCCCTTGAAAATACCATAACAAAATAGTATATATACTGTAGTATATTATACTATATATGGGGAAAAAAGATACTTCTCAGAGATATAGCAAAGACATCTGCCGCATAAATGGACATTTTTGGTGTACTTAATCCTTTCAGAATTATAGCAGCCAAATTCTTTCAACCTCCTGATATTTTTGACCTCTGAAAAAATGAAGACTTCTTAAATCATCTTTATGTACACATATACACCGAAACAAAGCAGTTAGTGTGTGTTTTAAATGAAAATTTATCTTTAGAAAGTCACAGAATATGCCTCATGGAGGATGTTCCATACAGTTTTGTATGCTGAAGAGGGTGTGTTCGCTAAAGGCCTACAGTAAGTATAATACCACACATACTTTGTACATACTGTACTTTAAAATGCCTGTGATATGAATATACTTGGAAAATATTTCATGAAACTTCTCTTAACCACATGCTGCCGGGCGATTTTCAAGATATTAAGTTTTCAAAATTCGTCAAAATTCATCGTTTCATTTCATGGATGTTTACACCCACATGAATGACTCTTTGGTGGCTACTCTAAGCTGACAGGTACCCTTCATTGACTCCTGAATATTTCAGACTCATCAGACATTCCTAATGAATGTGTAAATATGCATAAAAATCAAAACCCAAGAAGTATCACAATGAATTTAAATGTAATAAAATGAAAATAAATGGTGAATAATTGAACAAGTGTACTTTTACAAGGACTGCATTAGAAAATAAGTTATTTGCATGGGTCCTTTAATTCTCTGTTTACATGTTTTTGATCACAGGGTCTTACTAGCATCGTTTTGCCATTTCCAGGTGGTCCAAATAACAGCAAGCCTCTGGCTGGGGCTCGCAGGCCTGTAAACAGCTCCGGTCGGAGAGACGGCAAGATAACAATCTCTTCCAGGGCCTGTTTGGCAACCTCTTGCCCAGCTGAGGAAAACAACACCGTAAAACATACAACAACATCTTAAGAGGAGTGTGGGGCATGAGTTACATTACATATCCTTCCAATGGAAATTTGCCATAATTCCTGGCGGATAGACCTTAAACAATACATTTACATCACCAGAATTACCCTTGTCTACCCTCCTTGACAGTGCAAGTCTATTTTTGTTATGAATCTTTAGAAAGGACTACTGGTGCCTTTATTCTTTCTGTTTCAAATCAGTTTGCTTAGTTTTCTGTAAAATTTTCAAGACTTTTCTTCTGGATGAACAACAGTCTACAAGAAAAAAGAGCTTAAAAGCAGATTCACCAAAAGTTGGTTTCGAAAAAATTATTCATGGTGAGGAAGAAATTCCATAATGTACATCACAGATTCATTATCACACATGAATCATGACCCAACAGCTCCAAACAGGCTTAAGTAATGGTACATGTACATTGTACATGAAGGTACTTTTGTGAAACTGTTAGAAATGTAGTTTATAAATTAATCCCACAAATCAGTACAATGTACAATCGTACAGCAATGTCCAAATTACTTGGCTGCAGCATGAAATTACACATACCGGTAATTCCATCAGGCTTGCGTGTAGTTTGAAGTCACAGTCAATTCATTCAGACATACATGTACATGTAGCCTATGCTTACAAAGCTTTGGCCATTACAGGCAAATGTGTGGAGCTTGCATACACATATGATGTCATCAGAAACAGCTGAGAAGCTTTTTTCTGGTAATACAGACCTACATGTACATGTATACATGCATTTAGGGTATTATCGTGGGTAGGAGACACAAACAATAGGTGACAAAGTAAAAACATAATTAACAGGTTTTTATGTGAAACCATTCTGTGCTTATATTGCTGGATGCGGTTGGTCTTACCAATGTCATCAAATTTAACCGGTAACCCACTGTCCATGATTTCGTCCAGTATGCGGTGTGCCAGTTTGGAATCCACATTCTTTATCTTGTTGACTTTCTGCCGTACAGCTGAGGATGCCCTGTCATTAGTTGGGGCGTGGTTGGCATTGGTGATGTCTTTCCTTGTCAAGCCACGGCCCTGAAGAAATGTTGAAATATTCACAACATGAGAGAATTGCAACATAATGCTCACCAAAGAGCTACTGTAGCAAGACAACTATTTGCAACACATTACAAAAAGCATCCAACATCTGTGTGGCAAACAGTGTTTTCTTTCACATGGATGTTGCAAATTTTACACCTACATCTTCGTGGCTTGATTTTGTTTTCAGTTAAACACTGCTAAAGTGCTAAAATTATTAACTAAAGAAGTCTGCAAAAAAATTTGCATTTGGCTGTTACCTCCTTATCCACTGTACTCAGGAAAACATGTTATGCAGGGTTCTGCATGCAGCTGGCAAATTTGAATTCGCCGAAGTTTGACCCAAATACACATTTTTGAAAACATTTACGCTTTTAATACATTGCTCAATGGATTTTGCTCACCAGCTGTTCGGGATTATAGCCAAAGTTTACGAATATTCAGTGACAGCATCAATGGTAGTTGACAGCACTGTGTTTATTTGATGCAAGCTACACGAATATTGGACCTGTACTGTAGGGACTTGGTCAAAACTCTTGCTTAACAACCTCTGGATGACTAGATGGAGGAATGGTGCAGGTTGTCACAAATAGAGCAAATTATCCCCTGAAATGTATTGGGCTGTATTTTATTTTTGACAGAATAACTTCAGGGATGCCCCTAAACCTACATGTACAGTTGGCATCAGTATGACAGGTGCATTCAAGCAACTAGCAGTACATGCACAGCAATGCGCACAGTGTGGAGGAATTCATCAGAATTCAGTAAGACCAGCGATCAATACCAGCTGTACTCTCAGGGTTAATTTATTAGCTTCCTGTGTCGAGTGTGGCAAATGAGTGAATAACAGCCAATTAAACCAGAAAACAGTATCATGTGCTGCAACCTGGGGGAGATGATAACATCAATAGGTGAAAGGGTAGCATATGGGCAGGCATGATGCACAGACTGTACATCTATGGAGAATAATTGTCAATGCATGTGAACGCATATGTATGTACACATGTAAATGTACAGTTATGTGTACATTTTGTACAAGTTCTTGATTACAACATGATTGGTTCAAAGCAGTGTTTACAGGACCTAACAAGTATTGCTTCAATGTTAGAGTCCATTTTAGAGAGCTTAAAATGCACACATTAGTGGACTGAAACAAGAACAAACTCCTTACATGTACAAGTAAATGTAACTTACCGGGACGGACACAGTTGGCGAAGGATTTGTTCCACTAGAGTTGTCTGACTCGGGTCGTCTGTTTTTGTTTTGTAATGGTACATGTAAATCTGATACCAGTGATTTCAGAAACAGTGCACATTTTAGATAGGGATAACTTAAGACTCCATCTCAAGTCATGGAAGTCAGTTGTGAGCCTGATACTACATGTAGTGTCTGCATCACCTACATGTAGCCTTCATCAAAGCCTTTGTGGCTTAGTGGATTTTACTATTAGACCGAGTGGTGAATCTGCAAAGCAACAGGAGCAGAGACTACACATGTACCAGTAAGTCTCAAGTAAAATGCGTCACCCACACTGTGATGGTCTCTGGTCCAGCCTTGCTTAGCTTTGCTATTCTGTCTAATGCCACCTACGTCACAAAGGCCTTGGCAAAAGGCCAGCCAACAACTGACTAGGTTTGGAAATGACAAGTACATAATATGTTCTGTCATATACATGTACTTGTATTTGTTGTTGAAAGTTGCTATTTGTTTTACCCTTGAGCATGTAGTCAAAGCAGACTCTGATCCATGGCTATGTCGTTGGGCGTAGGATGCTGGTCGTCTCTCAGGTGTTGCAGGGCTTCTGCTTCTTATTCCCTCACGTTGTGATGAACGAGGCAAGACAGTGCTCTTATGGATCATCTTAGGTGAGGAGACTCTCTGGTTTCCTGGGTGACGGATAAAAATAGAAACCAAGAAGGCATGAGGCGCTGTAGAAGCACTATTTAAGAAATGTGAATAGGGGCCTACCAGTAGAAGCACAGATCTCCGGTTGTTTTTTAACCAAATTCTTAAACATTAATCTTTAACAACATTTGTCAATTTAAAATTCCCTTTGAACTGAAAACCTTATCATTTACAGTGACTACTGGGCTAAAATGATGCTCTAAATTCTACTCAGAAATCCAGTGATTAAGCAGACACACTGATGTTTAACATGTTCATAGCACAAGTTCATGTACATGTATATGTTTTCTCTTTGATACTGGGTTAATGCATGGCATATATTTATGATAACTATGGGGTGTGTAAACCAATGATTTGCCAACACTTGAACCAGTTTCACATTAAAAAGCAACCCAAATGTACCCGACTTTCGAGTCCGATTGGCAGTTTTAGGTACTTTGTATTACCCTTTCTACCCCAGCAATAAACAAATTTGTATTCCATGTCCAGCTCTGCAAATAGTTTACACCTGTCATTACCATCTAAGAAACAGGAAGCACGCTTTGTTTTTGTTTTTTTTTCCCTTTAGCTTGGAAGGTGACAAAGACATAACTACAAAGAATTATCATTAACATATAATCAGCACAAAACTCCAAATTGGCAATCTCGTTAAACCAACATCAGAAAATTAAAATTGAACAAGATCCCCCAAGTCAGAACCCCTCGCACCTGATGTGAGTGGTGGCTTCTGAAATCAATAAGCAATATCCAGTGTACATGGTACAGAGCATAAAAAGCTAGGGACGTATTTGCGTTGGGTAATGCAATACTATAACAATATTGGGATTTGCGTGTTCTTCCTCTAGAGAGGTCCAGGATATAGAGTTGTCACTACTTGGGGCATCTACATTTTAAGAGTGCCACACATTAATGCAAGGATCCCTATTCATGTAGAACATGCTTTACATGAGAAGAGGTGGGGAAATTGGGTCACTTCTAACAGAAATAACATGCAAACAGGTGAACCTCATAGATGTCTGAGGTTTCCGATGTACTGGTATTTGATATGTGTGCTGCTGGACATGATACCATTCAGTTGTCAGGAATATTCACGTTTAAAAGGAAAATGATAAGAATATCACATTACGAAGGATAGTGGCAGAGTAGTATGCACGTGGGTGGTGCTTGTTTTCAAGTGGATCAAGTGATTCAAGACTTCCTATAAAATACGAAAAATCAAGCCTTCCATAAGTGACAAGTATGTGTTACACTTGAAGATTAAACGCTTGCATGACATACATGTAGCAGCAGTGTGCCATGTGTACTTTTTTTGTAGCACAGTAGCCTACAAATGAACAAATGAAAACTCAACTGGTTAGTTGCTTCATCAGACTTTTTCTGCAGAACTTGATAGCTCCCAAACAACACATCCGACGTGTGTATGCACAAAAATTAGATTGGTCAAAATTAACTTGGAGTGGTTCTCAAATATATGACATGACATATCAGGTGGTATATGCACTATTGATCAGATAGCTAGTGTGACTCCAGCACCGCGAGAACCACCATTCAACCCGTCATACTGTACCCCTTGCATGACTCATATCTGACTGTGTGGTGATCATAACAATCCCTTTCTCCAATCTGATTTTTTTTTTTTTTTTTTGGTTGAAGGATGGGAGTAGGAATTGTGAGGTCCATTTTGATGTAGATATGACGGCTGAGGCAAGGAGCTTGAGGCAAACTGGATATGACCTCAGACTAGGATTTAATCAAATCTGAAAGATGCTCCTCAACATCCAAACAAGCTGCTAGGATGCAGTCCTACATGTAGATGGAACAGAGCATGTCATTGTCAAGAAGATGATGTGCCAAGACAAAGGATGCCCTGATCAGTTAGGGAAGACTTAGGCCGTGTCCGAAACGGGCTTCCAGAGCTACGACTAGGCCCATTGTCTATGTGTCCCCACGCATTTCCAATGGAGCAAAGACCTAGACCTAGCTCTAGACAAGAAATTCGGATGCAGCCTCAGTTTTCCTTATTGCAATGTTAAAATTTACCTATCCACTGAACTGGTGGACAGAGACGACTGATTGTAACATCAGTCTCACAGCATCGATGCCAGCACAATCCCAGCTGTCTTGTGTTTTTTTTCTAATATTCATTGTACTTGTTTTCGAATAATTCCAAAATTATCGGCAAAAACAAATTAAGCAAGCTTCGCTTTCTTTGAGATAAATGTAAGTGTACATGTACATACATGAACACTTACAAGCATGTGTATTACATGTACATGTGACTTTCAAAACAGCACGTTTAGCAAAATAGTTGGTTCAGTCCTTTTTTTCACTTGTAACTGCAAATTTTCAACACTAATTTCTGTCTACACTGTTCATGTGAATCACAATGAATCAGGAAGGCAGTCAATTTTACTAGTATAAAAACTAGCAGATTGGCATGACTCAACTTTAAGTGAAAAATCTGGTGATTGAAAAAATTACTCTCAGGAGGTCTTCTTGATACATTTAAAAGTCAATTTGTAACAAAGTTAAAAATATGGACAATACTCTGAATTCCAACGTCACTTCACCATTCCAAGTTAAATCTTTCCAATTCACATCAGGACACCGGTCTAAAGAGGGAGTTTGGTCATAAATAGCCACTACTCTCAACGAGAAAAAGTGCACCATTCGACTGTCACTGCCATTCTTACTCCACCTCTGTTAATGTGTTGCAGTCAACTACCGATCAATGCAGTGAAACCATCTCAATAATTTACTGTCCATTTCAGTCAATTTTCTTCTCCATTGCTTCTGTGATGAAACCAGCCAGCCATCAATTAGAATCTGCCTCCCTAGTCCTGTACACTTCAGACAGCAAATGTTCCTCCTTAGCTGTCCGTTGCAGTCAATTCACGTCCTTGGCTGCTTCACTGACAGGCGAATGGACACACGCACATGGTCTATGTTGGATGAACCACTGGCTCCTTTTGCTTGCAGTTCCACACATTTTGACTGTTGAAACAGTATCAATTGACACTGACCGAAGACACAAGGTTCAGCAACATGCACATGCAGATGTTTTGACATGTTTGATGAACATTTTGATCATAAAAAGAGACCTAATTTTTTACCAAATGGCACGATTATTTTTACAAGAGTGACATGTACCGGTACCGGGTACACTGTACCCTCATGTAAAGTACTTACAGGAGAAGTACATGTACTACTGACAAAATCTTGTGTTTAAATGCTGCCCACAGGCACATCTTAATGCAAACTATAGTACTTTCTCCCATTGGTCATCATAATTTTCTACATGGCAGGCTGGGTGCCGTTTAAATTTTGGACCTCAATTTACAGGAACATCTTGAAAATAAGTATTTCATTCTAACCCAGGTGAGGTTATGTACATGTACAAGTACTATACATTCATGGTAAACCTGTCATAGTTTCGAGAATTTGTAAGTGCTGCTCAGACTAAAGTCAGGAGCTTTAATAAACAATAAAATGACAACATTTTACCAGTACATGCCTTCCATAATGATGGCTTTGTGTAAACGAAGTATACACGGTAGGTTTTTCTGGATGTTTGCTTTAGATAAAAGGTACAAGTGGATGAAATAAAATCACCGGGCAAAGACAGAAGTACAGCACTTCAACTCACTGGACAAGCAGTTGCCTAGCAACAGTTACTATGAGATACAAGATGAGTATTATTTCAAGACGCAGGAATGCCATGAAAACAGCGACTCAGATCTAAAATTTGATACTCATCAAGATGAAAAAGCATCCCCTGCTTAGATGTACTGGTACATGTACAAATGTACATGTATATGTTTATTTTAGGTCATGGGTCGGATACATTACTTATTGTAACGACAGAATCACTGCTCATATTTTCTCCACACAGAAAAACAACCACATAAGCCATCCATATTTTCCAATCAATGTGTACTGGAAAAAAAATCCACCCCTCTGTACATGAAATATGGTAAATCCAACCTTGAACAAGAGACAGAAGGAAATATCTAAGTGATTTCTTTTTTCGTTAAAGCATTTTCCATCAGCAATGATGCATCCTGTAAAATACCTTTCAAATTAACAGTAAAAAATAACCGATCTACCTTCACACAGGACTAGCCCCTAATGACTTATTAAATCAATATCTCACTAACGACATTAACCACGCATCATATCCAGGCCATCGGGCTTAGGGATATCTCTGTATGCTAATTGCTTGTGTTCTCTGCCTGCGAGGCAGCAATTACACATTGTCGGTTGAGTCCGTCAAGCGTGAAACACAGGGGGCTGACACTGTGAGGTGAAGCCCGTCATGGGGCCTGGCCTCCAGTAATAAATATGAAGCTGATCAAACAAAGTCGGCTTTGGTCATAAATAACGAATCAATGCAAAGGCTTCAATGTGTAATCCAAGGAGGAACACTGTAACTCTTCCAAATAATAGATGCAACTTTATGCGGTTTGTACGTCACAAAAGTGTGTTCTTAATTTATGTTTAGAGTTTGGGGCAGGTGTTAATTTAGCATAGGCACAGCTATCATGACTTGGAATGTAAAGGTGAACATGTACAGTACATGTACATGTTACGTACAAATGTACTTTACATCAAAATCCGAGAATTTTAATCACTCACAAAAATCCCACTTGACCACTTTTCAGCTTGTTTTGCATTCTCTTAATTTATTGGTTAAACACATCAACTGATATTTATTTAAGGCAGATTAGTAAAAATGTGAATTATTGCACGATACACTCTGTCCTTCATTAATAATAGGAATTACCTACCGGTATGCATATCAGCAGCTTACATGTAATAAATCTCAATCCTATGTGAATGTGTCATCACCTGATTTTTAGCACTGTATACTTCATCATGCGTACCGGTATATAAGTGATATGGATTTACAACTCTGGACGAAAGTAATTGGCCATGCTGCAAATGGTGTTAGAATCCCTGATTTGCTGTGAATTGTATGGTACGGTGTGGAGTGCTAGGGCAGCAAAAGCTTAGTGATAGCATGGAAGGGATCATCATGATGACAAGAAGTATCTTGTGCATATGGTAGAAGTGCGATGAACTTACAGGTATTGCGCCATGATTGGATTCACACTGCATACAGTAGCAGTAGTCACCTTCATGACAGGGGACAATTCCTCAGTTACTCACATTACGCATTTTTTGTCACTTTTAATGATTCTCCATCAGGCATTAAAATTAAAATTTGTCTTGAAAGGTCTGTGTGATACAATTTTTTGTGGAACAATCCTGGAAAATGTACATTGTTTTGTGGTTAACCTTCTTTTCAATGTTCATTTTGAAATTTCCAAAAGGTATTTTGGAACTATTTCATTTTTTTTTTACCAAAACAAATTTCCATCTTTGGGAAGAAACATTATTTTTGCACTGTTGTGCAAAAAAACCTGTGCAGAATTTGAACATTTTACTGTTTTAAATGTCCCTATCTTTGGTGATTCATTAATTAATGTTAGAGCACATAGCAATAAGCAAACGAGCAACTCTTTGACAGAAAAGTTTTCAATGAGCAATTTGAGGTTCACAATTTGAAAAAAAATAAACTAAAGTTTGAGGAAGCAGTGCCTTTCTTCCCGAACAACATCACAACACTAATGCCCTCTGAGGTCCACAAAAGTTGGAGACAGTTTTGAATAAAAAATGAAAGTTGAAAAAAATGTGTCTAAGAAACGCTTTAGAACCAAGACCTTTTAAGAGACATTTTAAGCCCACCTTTTTGGTTTGTTTCTACTAGTGTTTCATGTTTTCATTGAATAACCTGAATTCTACTTGATTTTTTGTAACATCCTCTTTATTATTCCAAAAAGGTTTGATTAGAAGAAGATGGGTACACCCATATTCAGCTTAGATTTCTACCCTTGTGAGTTTGATTCAATTGCCATATGGTCCAAAAACCGGTTAGTACCATAACCACGTATTGAGCTGTTAGTTCTGAACACACAAATTACCTGTACCTTCAGGTTGAGAGACGGCACATTTGGCTTTTTTGACAACCTTTTCCCTAGGTTCATCAAAGACCTTCATTCCAGTGGTTCCAAAACTACTTTTCTGCTTCCCCTTGGCATTTGCACCCCCTTTAACCTTTGACCCAGCAGTTTGATTATCATAGCACTGGCTGGATCTAGTACAGGAGGCCACACCCATGTTTTCTGACGATGCAGTTGATGAGGATGTTCCTACCATTGTATCTGATAGCGGTAATAAGGAAAAATCAAATAAAAGCAATGGGTACATGCTTGCAACGTAGCAGAAACTATTTTAGCAACATGACACAAATAATGTAGAATGGCAAATACAAACCGAAATCAACAATGTCCATTGTCCATATCTATTCTTCATTCTTAGAGATACCAGTACAACACAAATACTTTAACCCCCCCCAAAAAATGTGCACATGGAAGTACAGCTGTCAGTGGTAGTGAACTAGTGATAAGCAAATCAATTCAAAGTTTGCTGGATTTGCCAATGTTCCTACTGGACACTCAACATGTCTGTGATGCTCCACTCTTCATTAGCTTAAACACAGAGCCATCACCAACTCAAACCATAAATATTTTCTCCTGGGTCTCCTCCTTGAGTTAAAAAGAGCATCCAATCAGTATTCTGCGGTGACTCGTACGTGCTGTGCACGCTAAATTGACGTTCACATGAACCGTGCGCCTGATGAGCCTGTGGGCCATTTCTGACTCAGACATAGGGGCCTTGCATTTCTCTTCAAAGAAGAACTGCATTGCCATCAATCACTGGGAGCCAGGGGTAAGTGCCTTGGAGCAGGGGCCGCGCACCTTCACAACTGAGAGCAAATTGGGAATCTCCTCAGCGAGCTGAGTAAGCCTCAGGCTAAGGTTGAGAGGAGTGGAAAAGCCAACTTGAAATGTAAAGTAATGAACAACATTCACAACCACAGAACAAACTGGTTGACACATACAGTGTACATGTACATGTTGAGTGTACAGTACATGTACACTGTACATGTACCATATGTGTACAATGTACATGTACTTCACAGAACATACACGTACACTTTGGGTACCAGTCAATAAAGAGCTACATGTACCAGTATGGCTAGCCCCCTTCAAAAAAGAATAGACGATCATATCTCTTCAAGATTTCAAATTAAACTTCACATCGTCTGTGTTCTTAGGCCAAAAGCATATTACAGCATTGCTACATTACACGGTTACATGTTCATGTACAGGTACCTCTTGGTCACTATCATTTGGATTTCTGAAACACGTCCAGTAGAATAGTACACTCACTACTAAACACCATGAACTATCATACTGGCAGTTAATGTACGTCATCATTACCGGTGATGTCAATATCATTTATGTACACGTTTACTAAATGTATACCACATGATGTACATGTATGGTAACTGTGGTACATGCAGGCCCATTGTAAGTACATGTACATGTACATGTACCAGTACCAACTGGTACAATGTGGCATGCAGATACAGCAATAATGGCGACAGGATTTACAATGGATTTGCATACTCTACATGTATTACTAACATGCAAACCAAACCAAATCATCTTAAATTAGGTGGAAGTATTAAAAATCGAGTTCAAGTCTTCTCAAGCCAACCATGCATGTCAATACATGTATAGCAGGTGCTGATCAAGGAAATGGGTAGAAGGAGGTACATGTGTGTCTTTCTCTTCCAGAACATTTTAACAAAAGGGGGGGATACATGAGGGAAGGGAGTGGATATGATTTGAGGTGCCCCTCCCACTTAAAAACATCCTGGATCCTCAACCGTGTAAGCACCAAATATAAAAATCAAAGTCCTATGAAGGTTATCAATTCATGACACAAAAGCAACACAGAGATATTCTCTTCTACTTCAAAATACTGTTCTGCGCCTCATTTGTGATGAGATGGATCATTCTTCTTCCCACTCATAAACCATTCATGAAAACGAAGCACACATTAATGATCCCAACGTGCATAAAATGTAAACTATGCTTCCTGCAACCTAAGTAATCCCAACCTGATTTAATTTAATTGGTAATTTGCAAGACTCATATATCACCAAGCAGGGATGAAGTCATCAGTGGTTCTGAGTAAATCCAAGTAGGATGATTGATTGTGTGGACATGAGGGTAAGGTCTTGGCGGTAAAGCTCAAAGGAGCCAAATGCATTTATGCAGCTGCTACTAGCTCAATGTCAAAGGGGATTCTAAAATGAATGTTCATTTTCTAGCATCTGGCAAAAAAAAAAGACTTGACATTCAGGATGTTCAATCTTCGATGTTTTTTCTCTCATTGCATGAACATGTATTAAGTGCTGAGAATTTTCTTCCTCCTTGTTTTAAACATTAACCCACCCCCCTTGGTATATTTACAAAGAACCTTCCCATATCCTCTTCCTAGCTAGAAACCAATGGCACATTGTTTGGAAAAAATATTCCCTTAACAAGTTCATATTGCGCAAATCCTATTTTGTAGCCTATGGGACAGTTTCTGACATGAGTTACATGTACATGTACCAGTGCATAAAATGCCCAAGTATGTACAAGGTCAAAAATCAAATGGAGTTTTCCAATGAGCCTTGTATGCAAGCAAAATTTGTCCACAGCCAATGCGGCTGAAAATTCTTACAGTCTATGAAAACTCCTGTTACTGGTACCGGTACATGTATGTCATGAGAAACCAAGAAGCAGACAAGAGAATGGTGCCAAAATAGGGCATTCACTCATTAACAAGATAGGTCGATACTCACTGAGAAGCTCTATTCTCTCCTTGGCCATCTCCAGATTGGTTTTCATCTTTTCTTGAAGACGTTTGGCTCTCTCCCACTCCACACCTAGAGTATGCACACAGGTACATGATGAAGGAACAAACATTATTAACTACAACAAAGAAAGATTTACAAAACATACATTCAAGGAGAATAAGGGCCAAATTTGATTTTATTCTTTGAATGCTCAACATATAGCATAAGTACAGCTCCTGCATGAAACGTCTCTTTTTTAGGTGGGTTGATGTTACTCCATATACATGAACATTGTATGTGCATACATGTACATGAACGAGCAAAGAAATGGCTAAGCAATGTGTAGCATCTAAAGTGAATCTGACTGAATCATAATTTCAAGTAGTTTCTGGAATTCTGCATCCATTCTTAGGGCAAGTTTATACTTAAGAGGAATGTGGAAGCAAAGTAAATTTGATGGCGCAAAATATGTGCAGAACAATGCGCTTGAGCTCAAATGTGTTCAAGTTGCAATTTCACAATGTGTACATCTGATCTGATGGCACAAGTTAGTGTACATGTTTGCTTTTGTTCCAAGTACAAAGTGACTTTAGTCAGCCAGAGAATCCAAATGTCTTATCTCTCCTGGTACATTTGTGATTGCAAGAATGCATAAAAGACAGCTTCAAATGTGCTATTCATACATGTATACCCAACCATGTACACTTGTGAAAGTGACTGAGCGCAGATCCACAACTACTTCAATTCTTTACTGGGGTCCTATTCCTATGTAAATGGTTCTTCACTAACCAAGGTGCGCCTTGAGCACCTAGGTGGATCTGTGCACTCTATAAATCATCATTATTATTATTATTATTACATGAACAGAATGTCTGAAAGTCTTCAGAGTCAAGTAAAGCAAACAAAATTCACTCTTCAATCATAAATTGGAATGGTGGATAGGCAGGCACACAAGAATTCCTGGTTCTTTTTCAGTCTTTCATTACACGATTCAAAAAACAGTGTGAGTCATCATTCCAATGAACAGAGCATTAACAAATTCAAACAGATTTATGCCTTATTGGCTCTGTTGGAAAAAAATGCAGTCCCAAATGAATTTTGACTTTATTGGCACACTTCGCGTGACTGGACAAGTTAAATAAAATCTGCCAGTGCAGGAACAAATCAATTCACTTCACTTCACACGAATGCACAGTATCAGCCTTTAAGAATTTGTGCTGTTTTTCGCTGCGAACATTTTGCAAATCACAAATGTACATGTATGTTTCAATTTAGAGAAAGATTCCACTAGCATTGAAACATCAGGCCTCTTTTAACATGTACATGTATATTAAATCTGAGTTACCGGTATATTTCAACTACATGTATGTTTTACCAGGTGCCACCTTGAACTGACAGGATGGCCAAATAATAAGCTACTTCCACTCTCAAGATAACAGATGCTTAACAGGCAAACTGGATTACATCCAATGGGATGAGGAATCTCAGTTTTGGCTAATCCCTGAGGATAAGCATGGTTCAACAGACAAATTCCTGGGATTTATGCAGGGTGCAGATTACACTTAAGCAGGAGTCTGGCGACATGCTTTCAAAAAGGATGAGCTATTTCAGTGTCACACAGCATATTCTTCGACAGTCTGAAAATGTGACTCACACTTCAGTTTCAGATGATACAAGAAGAAAGTATCAGGAAAATTGGAAGCACTGACCAAGCCAGATCAGATCAAATTCACCTGCCATTTCCTGGACTAGGCTCACCCCAATGAGATGAGATGATAAGGAGAACTCCTTGATGAGATTAGAATTTGCTTCACATTTTACAATGACCATCAGATGATCAGGATATGCGTGTATTAGGAATTGGTAATTAGATCAGGTCTCGAAACAAAGGATTACCGTTTGTCACAAATCAATGTTAGGTGTTCTTTGCACTGTACATGTACAGTACACGTAACAGCACAAGAATGGTCACTTTGTCTACGAAACCTGGATAAAAATATACGTGTATGCAAACACAGGATCAAGATTTGACATAATTGGACAGTAAACACTGGTAAACAGTGCGTTTTTTATTTACAATGATATTTGAAATAACCAAGCCGAAGTCTGAAAACTCTTATTAGTCAAATTCCTTCTCGGTGGAAACTTCTACTCTTTTCTGCATTGGTAAAATTTACAAATGTATACACATCCCTACAGTTACTGGTGCATGTTGATTGGGCATAAGATGAGTGCAATATTTTCAGAATATACGTGTACGTATCTGCATGGTTTCTTTTACTGAGCATGTGTAAAGTGAGAATGGACATTGTGTATGTCTAATGAGTCCAGTTAGCTCAGAGACTCTTCAAAAGTCTTCCTGCTTACCCCTGCTCCTCCTTCAACCCTACACATAATGTACAGTACATTTATCGTACATGGACTCTCTCAGATCTATCCAGACTGCCTGCTTGTGTTTGTACCGGATAAACCTTACACCTCATTTTTCTTGCCAATTGGGTAACTCCTGGCTATGTTTGCATAGCCAAAACCCGCCCCAATCTTCAGGATAGGAAGTGCTTTGACAACAGCAGCCTCTCAGGCTAAGAGCTTCATCCCTCTCTTCTGTCTGACCTGGGTGGGGAGGCTTGTTTGCCAAGGAGGACAGGGAATGAAGTGGATTTCTCTACCCCCACCCCCACCCCTACCCCTAAGGCTGGCTGAGTCACAGTGAAGATAAACCTGCCAATGCTCCAACGCTGAGTAACTTTGGGGGCTTGCGGAAAGGAATGATGAGCCTTATCAGATTAGACAAGGCCCCAGGATGCTGAAGATTGGACAGAGGGAGACAGAAATGATCTGTGCTCCAACAACCTTATGAATAAAATCTTGTACCATCTCAAGACGGTAGAAACTAGCATCAGGATACAACAGACCAGGGATAGCATCTGATAATTTCAGTTCCTTGAGCTTGTTATCCCAATTTAAGTAATCTAATGAAGCAACATCCAAATGAAGGAACATTTTTTATAAGCAATGCAAACCATGGTCATACTGGTGTTTGAATGTCACGGTGCTTATCAATGAACTGATGCATGTCAAATCATTTGAGCATTTACATGTGCATGCATGTACATTGTACATTCAACTTACATGTACATGTACCGATACATATGCCTACAATTACATGTAGCTTGTTACTGGTACATGTGTGTACAGTATATTAGACAAAATGAATGTCACGACCGCCACAAACCATGTTACTCGGCAAGATATACATGTATAGGAGTCGTTTTTTTCCCTCAGTAAGTTTCATAGAAATGAAAGAAAATATTTAAGTTAGTCACTTTTTAATGACTCCCGGTGGACATGCAGGCTTCAAGAAACTTGAAGAACACATTATGCAGGTACATGTACATAACAGTACAGGTGCATGTAGGTTTGGACAGTATTGTGGGCCAGCAATTTATCCATTCTTGACGCCTTTACAAAAATCATGCTATTAACTTATTTTCTATGGAATAAGATGCACTGCATCTTTTCAGTGTTCCACTAGTGCTCACAGAATTCATTTGCAAGTCAATTTCAAAGAATGTGGTACACAGCAACCTTCTCAACTTACTGGCTTAGAATTCAACCTAAGACTGCTTGCAAATAATAGAAATTTGCTGCATTGAACATTTTCTTCAATGCAAATTATACACACATTGTACCAGTAAGAAGTACTGTACAAGTTGCATAACATGAGCAAGCTTGTGAAATACGGAATAAGCCAAGGAAAGTTAAAAGAATGCAATCCTATCTTACAGCTCAGCCTGACACATAATCTATCCTGTACATGCACAGGTGCTGAGTACTCCTCTCTGGGCCAGTCTAATGTCCTTGCAAGCACAGGTAAGGTTTCACCACAAACTGAAGCAGCAAGCATCCAAAAAGCCAAAGGTGACAATCAATAGAGCAAAGAAGGAGAGCCAATAAAGTGCTTCAGTCTTACCAAGTAAAGTGGCTACATAAGGATCTATACAAGACATGAGAGTGATGGGTTTAGTAAGTAGAAAATCTTGTGGCAATTACATGTACATGGATATACATGTACAGTACGTAGTCAACATTCAAATAGATAACATGAACATTAAAGTACATGTACATGTACAATTGAAATCAAGTTAATCTAAATGTACAGGTGAGAACATACATAGTGATTGCTGGATAAACAGGTGCCACAGGATGCTTAATGCCTAGTATGCAAACATCTCTGCAGTGGGTACATTGTTCATGTATGCATGCACCTACTTTATGTTACTTTATATTCATGGCTTTTGCTACCCCCAGAGGTTAGTACCGTAAATGCGATTCGCATTCAACATTCAGTGCATTGCCAAGATGTTGCCATACAGAGGCCTGCACAGTCGGAAAACAGTCAACAACGTTCTACTTGTCAGCTGCGCTACTTGAATGGTTCCTGATGTTTGTTTGTCTGGGAACAAAGATTAGTGTTAATAAAATCAAGATGGTGTTTTTTTAGAGGTACGGACTTCTCCAATCAATCACAAAATTTCCTCAAGTTGTCCACTGACATTCGCTCCAACATAAATTGCAGCGAATCAGCCTTGAATTTGTCAACCATGAATTTGAAATGTGGCCTCTCTGTGGCAACCTCTTGGGGGCGCTCTATATTGTGATTCACCTGTATTGCATCCTCTGATACCCTTTCACACATATGTACATGTATGCAAGTTCTTAAAGACTTTAGAAATGTTCCCTGTATAGAATTTATTTCGGATGGACTTTCAAGGAAAAGGTCTCCTGTTAATTGGCTCGAATCAAAAAGACCAAACTATGTATTACTGCAAAGAATGTACTATTTCCATACTGTACCTGGCTTCTCACAGTCAATGACGATACCATTCTCTAATTCAATGATGCCCCTCTTGTAGTAATCTAAAGCTAACTTTTTATTTCCTGAAGAGAAAGAAAAACAAAAATTAATATATCTAAATGATGTTTCATGTACCATTTTGAAGCAACATTCATGTATTCTAGTATTATTCTTTGTATACTTTTATTGGTTGCAAACCATGATTCCAACTCTTGTCATTCCTACGTTTGTTCAAATCTGGTCAGGAATATCACGATTTTGTTGAATTACTGTACGTGTACAAACAACTGTATGCCTGAATTGCACCATGGTATGACTGCACATACCAGTATACATGTACATGTACGTGTCTGTGTTTTTGGATGTTTGTGATGAGATCTGATCATCACATCTATATTGAAATGCTTTCCATACGCAATAATCACTGAGATCAACAATGTGGAATAAACATGATATTGATGTGATTCTATTAATTACCACGTACATGTACTTGTTAATATTTATGCATTTTCAGAATAAAAAGGGGAAATCCAACACTATCAGTGTATTACCTTTTGTAAATTCTCTTTCACTTTTTATCTATTTATTCATGTTTGGTTTACATGTATATGTTTATTTTTTTTAATCTATGCAATTTGCAGGGCCAGCTGAGGCTGTAGGAACAACTAGCCAAGCAGATTTTAACTACATGTACATGTACATGTACCGGTACATTGGAAATCAGACAAGCAAAACTCATAAAGGATAGCGTGATCGGTAGGTCAGCAGGTACACGTACAATGTAGGAGCAAGCAGCATTCCCTTATGCAGTTTGTATTCATTAGTCTTATTGCCAGGCCACCTTGGGCTCATCGGCAGTGTATTCTATGATCCTTCCCGCGAGTGTGTCGGCATTCTTTGATGCCCTGTGACTGAGCGATGCATGGCAAAGCAAGATGGGTGTCCGGGACTAAGGGGCAAGGGTTTGACAGGGAATCCATGGGACTGAGTCAAATGACAGAGTGCTGGTACAAAGATCACTCTAAAAGGATGCAATATACTGGTAATGGCATATGTAAGTCCCATACAAGTTCATCTGCACTATGTGTATAATGAGACATTTCACTTGTGATCTACCTTTTCCTTTACGATTTTCTGAAGGCAATTAATGTGATATATTTCTATCACTTGAGAGGTCCTGCACAGTGAAGAAGAAGAACACATACATGTGTCGTGTAATGTGGGTAATGGTACACCTGTATTGGTACAGGAAGTAAAGAAATAAACTACGGTACTGTATGTGTACATGTAAATCAATAATACAGTAGCTCAAAGCAATGATAATTTGCACACCCTATCTTTTGGACAATTCTAAATTAAACAAGTTGACTGTGGATGCCATTCTTTTCCACACAGTTTTATCCACTTAACATGATCAAAGTAGTATATGAGCAGGTGAGTTGGAACCTGGTCATGGATTATGAGTGCCCTGTCTTGCTGAGGTACTGTAACAGTTTCTACTGGTCCTTCTTCATTTGAATTTCACAGAGTGGCAAATCACAAACATGACACTTGCTTGTGGTGTATTGTACTGTACAGTATACCGGTACATGTATGTTTCTGTATTTTTGTATTGATTTTTACTCAATTTATATGGAGTACATGTATATGTACATGTATGTACATGTATGTGATTTGGTCAGCTGGCTATGAGATGTTATAAATATCAATACTTATATTAATTAATCAATGTTTGGGTACATGGATGCACAGAGTTTCTCCTCAGGTGTTGGTACTGTCTATTATACTGTACGTAACCTGGTGAACTGACACACTTTATGGTAACTCACACTACAAACTCTATTAAAGAATCTCTGGAGAGGAAAAGTCATCCAAAAATTAATTAGTGAGCACTCAGATCAAAACACCAGGGCTTACATTAATAAACAGGGGTCACACAGTGAAGAAAGGGAGGGGAAATCTAAGTTTCTCATGCCTAGTACAGTATTTACAGGTACATGTACATGTAATTAGTTCATGATGCAAACATGTATGTACCGTACCTCTAAAAATTTTGGTTCAGTTAAAAAAAAGTCTTTTATTTCAACAAGGCTCTTTTTCTATTTCAAAATCTGTTTTGGCAATGAGGGTACATGTACTTACAAAAATCCACTTTGCATGTTACATTTAGGAAACTGAAATACGTGTAAACAGTCAAAAAGTTCCAGAACTTTAAGTATCACTTAATTTCTTACGTGATTTCTTCCACACAATAGCATAGAATTGGTTTCAAGAAGCACAATTAACATTCTTTATTCTGTCTAATGTCCACTGAGACAGACAAATCCATAGCACTTCAATCATGTAACGCCTCTCACGATCAAGACATCATACAGAGAAGATGGATGGATTCATTTCTCCTTCATGTACCGTATAAAACCATGTGCGCAACTGTCAAAAGGCCTTCAATGAGAAAAGAGTAAACTGACCAATCAACCGTCTAAATTCTCATCAACTTGAAGCCAACATATGACAGTGAAGAAAAAAGTCATCAATAATGTCCACGGTTGAGTGATGATTCAGTGTTTGCCAACCCCACGGGAATACGACTCACGGTCAATGACTCTCAGCCACTGCAGTGTACACAATGGATGTCAATTTTATCTGACATTTTTTAGAATTTCGGGACAGCATTTAACAAAGCAGGTACAAAGGTTTCACTGTTTTTATTCAACTGCAAAAAAGATAAACTTATGTTCTGAGAAAATAATGTTCAAAATTGCACATTCTGATCACCTGGTGTGAAAATGAACCTGTATTATGAAATGATTCACACTGTAGAAAGAGGGAATAAATACACCCATTTTCCCTTCAGAGAAAATTATTGGCTTTATTTTAGTGTGCATTACATTATACTATACTATCGCAGACAAAATAATGGATTTAGAGCCTGCTGCAATTAAAATTTTGCTATGTACCAGTAGAATATGCCAATACATTTGAAAATGTAGAGTGATCAAATACAGTGTACCAGTACAGTGTACTGGGGGGAGGAATTTACATACATGTACATGTACAAGTACCAGTACAGTGTACTCATTGGGGGGATGTACATATACCAGTACAGTGTACTGGGGGGGAGGGGAGGGAATTTACATGTACTGGTACATGTACCAGTACAGTGTACTCATGGGGGGATGTAAATGTACATGTGTACCAGTGCAGTGTACTCATGGGGGGAATGTACATGTACCAGTACAGTTTACTCATAGGGGAGAATGTACATGTACATTAAAAAACACTATCTGGTGCAAGCAAAAATACAATGTACCGTAATACACAAGTTATTTCAATACATCAATCAAACCTGGCAAGATGACCTTTGATTCAAAGGGTTCAATGACTTACGGAAACCAACAACTGTCAGCACTCAGCGTATCAGATTCAGAGGACAAGCTCAGATGGTAAGAGCCATTACTATGGCAACCACTGTCGAAACTGATGTCTCTGTGAATCATCCTGTCTTGATGGCTATCGTTCCGAGCATTTATCATATACCAGTACGTATGGTAACTGCATCAGGTTTTTATCTTAGTATATTTTTACAATCATTGTTCACTACAGAACACTTTCAAATGTATCGTAGCATAAAGCAACTTGCGAGTCAGGTCAAAGCCTTCACGTACCGCTACCTGTAGATGTGTGTACCATGCATATATTCTGATATTCAGATTTCAGTAAAAATCAGATGAGAAAATCTTCATTTAAAGCTACACAACGTACATGTGTCCAACTATCCGTACCAGGAGGTGTGGCATGAAGTTTTCTAGAAGTTGGACTTCAGTCACTTTACACCTCTTCCCAAATTCTAGGAAGCTGGTGCAAACGTAGTGTTACATGTACACCTATACATGTACTATGTCATTCAATTTGAAGAACATCAAAGTTACACTGATTCAAATTACACAAAGAAACACTTCTCCTAAAGCGAACAAAGTTCAAATGCTCAATCAGCTCCAGTTATTTTGA